TGGTCTGGGAGTGGGCCAGGACCAGGCAGCAAGGGGTCTCCACTAGGCCTGTGCAAAACAGCAAGTATTCGCTTTGGATTCGGCCAATATGGAGGACAGTGATTCAATTCGGAGATTCAAAATCACTGCCCCGATTCGATTCGGCCAAATCAGATCCAAAAGATTTGCCACCACTTTGGAGATTCAGCCATAGACTAAACAGGCACTGCTTGCCCAACCAGCACGGGGTGGGGGGGGCAGGTGCGATGCTGGTACGGCTCACTCCGGGTGGAAGAGGGTAAGCGGGTAGCCCCCACTCCCAGTGCTGCCGCCACTTGCCAGCTGGCATGGGGTGGGTGTGGGTGCTGTTGCTGCTTGCCAGCCAGCGTGGGGGGCCTGGGAGAGCAGGTGTAGCAGAGCTGGGAGCAGGGGCTATGCCCTGCTGCTGCTTGGCCCCTTCCACCAGGAGCAAGCCAAGCCCACATCCCCCAACCCCAACCATGCCCAGGCTGGGCAAGCAGCAGCAGGGCAGAGTCCCCGCTCCAAGTGCTGCTGCACCTGCATCCCACGCTCCCCACACCCAGGCTGGGCAAGCAGCAGCAGGACATGGCCCTCGCTCTGAGCGCCTGCATCCCGCACCACCGATGCCTCCCTCCCCAGCTGGGCAGCTTGCCCCAGCCCCAGCCCTTCCCTCCCCACTTCAAAAGAAAAGTTCAAATAATAAAGGAGGCTATAAAAAAACCCCCAAACCTTAAGCAATGGTTAAATAAGGCTGAATTTGAAAGAAAAGTTCAAATAATACTATAAAATCACCACTCAACAGGTGCAACGAAAGGTAAATGTGACAAGCTACCCTAACGAGGGAGGGTTGGGGAGCAGTGGCCCCCCACTTCTAGCCCCATCCCCGAGCAAGCACAGCTGAGGGGGCAGCTTGTGCAGTGGCGAGGCCTCTGCTCCCCTTCCCCCGCACTGCTGCAGCAGGGCTCTCAGCCTTGCCTTCTGCCTCTCCCTGTCAGCCAAGCCACACAGCACTGGGAGGGATGGGAAAGGAGAGCCTTCCCAACTGTGTGGGCCCAGACCCAAGCAAGCACAGCTGCAGGGGTTGCACAGCAGGGAGCCTCTGTTCCCACCCCCCCAGCCACTGTGCAGTTTGGCTGAAAGAGGCAGACAGGAGCCAGGGCTGAGGGAGTGGAGGCCCCCCCCCCGAGCAAGCACTGGTGGGGAAGGCCACATGGCAGGGGTCTCTCTTCCTCCCCCCCCCCCACTTGGCCCACGGCCTTGCTCTCATGGTTGAGGGATTTGCTCCACATGCCTGGTTCTGAGGGAGAGGGAGAGGGATTCTCCCCACTACTCTGCCCAGTGCAGGGAGAAGGAATCCCCAGCACTTTGCTGCTCCGTGAACAGGGGATGCATTCTTTCCCTGCTCTTTGCCCAGCATTGGGGACCTCACATGCCATGCTCTACACTCCAAGTATCTCAGCACGGGGTCCTGGCACACCCACAAGTGTGATGCCAACCAACCTTGTGCTCAAAGAGCTCCCACAGCAGCAGCACTGCTAGTGGGTGCACTACTACTTTCCCCTTTGCATGCGAAGCCAAGCACATCAGTGTTAAAAAGTAACCACTACAGCGCAACTGAAATAATGTCTGCCAGTTATCTTGGTTTAAAAAAAAAAAAAAATTAAATGGGCAATGTTCCTTTAAGTGATCCTCATTGTATACCTGCAAAGTATTACTGCTCATTCACTGATGTAAAAGGTAAATGTACAGAGCCTAAAAGTAAAACTTTTAAGCAGGGTATAACTAGGGGGAGCACATTTCCCTTTCATTTGCTAGCAGCAGAGGGAGAGATCCTTCTTTCCTTTCCCTGACAGCAGAGTAGCCCTCAAGAATTCAGCCCCTCCTCACTGGTTGATGCAGTGAGAGCTCCCTACTCGATATCAAGTAACCCGCTAGAACTCAGGAGTCACTCCCTTTATCCTTCAGAACAATAACATTTAACAGAATAACTATTGTATGAATGGGCATGATTTGAATATGCATTCACATGTCTCTTCTGTTTTCATCAGGTAAAATACAATCATGCTCAGAAGTTTAATGTCTTAGGAGGTTTTGCCTCAAGAAAACCACTCTTTTGAAGAGGCATAAAACACTACCAACCAGTGTGTTATAGTGGTTGCACATGAATACAAGCCATAAATATTAGCAACCCTCTTACCTTCCAAGTAGGACATTGTTTTCAAATTCCTACAGTTCTAATTCCAGGACACCTAGAAAACTGGAAAAGGCACATTGTCTATATCTAGTTTAGGATGCAGCCAGGGATGATGGAAATATCAAATGGTTGGTCTTGAGAGGTTGTAAACCCATTTAACTCTGAACCCGATCTACATCTGAACATCATCCACTCAATTAATTGGGTCTGCTTGAGTGTAGTAATTACTGCACTCCGGCGACTCCGGTGTCTAAAGCATTCATATCCCTGTGCAAAAAACAGCAGCAGGAGCGCTTTAACCAAAACTTGTTCGATGAGCTTTAAAGTGCCCCTGCCACCATTTTTCAGCCTGGGGACACCGACACACGAGATGCTCTGGGCCCTTTAATTAGAGCTGCTGTCAGAGCCACTCCAATTAAAGCACCCCCCACCCCCCTGAGCACGTGTATAAATGTCCGGTGCTTATCCCCCTTCCTGACTTGGTTCGTTTGACCCTGTGGATCACACCCACTTACCAAATTCACACACTGTTCACGCACAAGATCACTCACTCTTCCTTATCTTCATGGAATCTATCTTACCCATATCTCAGTGTGTGTGTTGTTCCAACTCACCACAAGAAACCCAGTTGTCATTGTTCTCTGGTAGCACATGGCCATCTGCCCCCTATGCTTAATGAACTCTGTGCATTAAACTCCTGAGGTGAATGGCCAAAGATTGTTTAGCTTCAGAAAAAACTGCAGTGGCATCAGTGCATTTGTTTGTGGATATCTTGCAGTAACCTGCCCCTACAATGTACTCCTATAAAGCAGGTCACATTACAGGCAGGTCCCTCTCTATTAACTGCCCCCAATTGTCATGCACTACTGGATTTTGAAGTCCCTATCTAGCTATGCCAATTGCCTAAACTTTATAGATACTCTCCCTTTCCTCAAGACTTTCCTCTTCATGGTAATGAAAAGTAGACTTGCCTCAAGGCAGCCAAACTGTCTGCTCTCAAAGCTCACTGTCTCCTGATCCATGGCAACAGTAAAGTTCTTGATGTCTTTGTAGCTTTTAGGCTTTTGCCTCCCTTAGATCTAAGTTTTGTGGAAGACCTTCCATTCAAGGGAGCACATGTTTAGTGCTAAACTATTTAACTCTAGAGCTAAATCTCACACACTGAGTCTACCTGCCCTCACTGCAACTTGAGCCCTGCTTCCCTCAGTTACAATTGCACACGAGCCCATCCAACTGCTCCTTTTTCAGCACCTGCATGTTTTAGCCAATTTCATGATTATGAGACAGCCGAGAAAAGATGGAGGCTATGGAAGATGCCAGGATTTAGGACCATTCCATACTCTTTATAATGAGACCTCTGACAGAGGGGCTTTTATGGTTTGATAAAGACATTTTCAGCAACGTCTCATTTTCACATCCAAATAGTACATTTCTGTTTTAGCTGGAGCCAGAATCACCAGATTGATGAGTACTATACAGTCATAAAATTATGGCATTGAGTTCTCGTCTTTCTTATTACCCAAACCTTTCCATTTACTTATTCAGGGACTGCTCTCAAAAGCCTCCTGCATCAAGAGGTTTTTCCATGCTGCTTCTGCGAAACTTATTTTCTTGTTCCAAAAGACAAAAAGGAGGATGGAGATGGATCAGGACTGTTATGCCCACAAACAACACAAAGGAGGATATAAAGCCTGGACTTGCATTTATGGATATTCAGTTTTCTCACGTTCAAGTTGATCGTATAATACCATTTTTGCAGCACGTGAATTGGCTAATCTCTCTCAGCCTACAGGATGTTGACTTCCATCTTGTTATGCAGTCTTTCCATAGACAGTAACTAGGGTCCTGTAGATGAAAACCATTTGATATCAGGTCCTCCCACTTTGGCCTCTCCGATGTTTCAAGAGTTCTTATGAAGGTGATGAGGTAGAGGCAGAAAACTGACCCTCTCCCAATTCATTATGCAACAGAGAGCTTTTAAACTTAGAACTATCAATATTGGATCCCATTGGAATCTTTCATGCCACTGAAATAGAAGCAAACTGATGACTCCTGGGAGATCTGTAAGAAGGGCAGCTCATCTTTACCTCTTATCTGCAAATAGATCCTAGATGTCAGCCTAGGACAAGGTTTTTTTCTAAGTAGTGCAGTGCTGGAAACAAAGAAGGATGACCTGGAAGAGGAAGAGCCAGGCAAGTGGTGGTGCAGGCAGGAGGACTTGCCCAAGATGAAAGTGCACAGTTCACCCTCTTATTCCTTCTTTTTGCCTTAAATGACCAAGTGCCACATTTGACAGGAATGTGTGGCTCTCCAAAATGGTGGAGGCACCTGAAGTGAGTCTGATGCAACAATCAGCCCCTGATGACAATGGGCAGCTCTTAAAGACTGGTGATTTGTCCAAAAAGATCGAGGGGGGAAGGTGATAAAGGATTTCCAATTTGATAAATTGAAATAAAAGAAAATGTATAAGGGGGCAGGGGGTGGCACTAGCACCATCAGGGGCATTCTTCAGCCCCAAAGATCTGCTGCCTGACGGTGGAGAACAAGCTGAGACATACCAAAGGGCCAACTCTTTGGCCCAGGGCAAGTTGTTTCCATATGTTCATTTAAGTCTTGCCATTCCAGCCAAGACAACTCTCCTAGCTGAAGGATTCACATCTTTGTTCAGCTTGGGCAAGAAATAATAGGTCCTTGCACCCTCTAGAGTGACCAGTTGGTATTATTACCAGCTGCTCTAAAATTGCATTTACCACAGATGATGGGGAAAATATAGGAAATAGCAAAGAGATTTATTACATAAACAAGGAAAATCATAAAAAACAATACATGTATATTCAGGTGTGAAATATGGAAAACAAATAGAAGACTGTAATTTGATCTTATCCCTGTATCTTTCCCCTAAAAAATGCAGCTGCTTGCTCTGTATCAGAAATCGCTGCAAGCCTGTCAGCTTACTCTGCTCTGTAAGATCAACAAGACTGCATTCAAGAAAAAAAGGACACAACCTATACGCAGGGTCCCCTACATGGCCATCTTTCCCATCATGTTAGTATACCAGAGTCTGCTGATGAAAATACTTTACACTGGCCTAAATTTTGCAATTATCATCCTTTATTAAGTTATACAAAATGGGCTTTCCAAAGGCAAAGCCTGCTAATACATATTTTATAAATGTAGAACTCTTAAGATTCTATATAGTATCAGGGAGTAAAGCATTCAACACTTTAGTTTTGTTGTTTATTTAAAAGTTAAAAACTACATTCTTCAACTGAACTTATCCCACTAGAGGGAGGAGGGTTGTTAATTACAGTGCATTTCACATATCATAATTTGTAGTAGCCAACATGAAGCATTTCAGAACAATAACTAATGTTTTTGTAAAACATGGATTTCCAAAACATTACTGTATTGTATTGCAACAGTTCCTAAGGGCCAAGACCCCATGGTTCCAGGCCATGTACAATCTATGTCCCCCTGGTCCCCCAAACCTCTCAGTTACAGCTTAAAGATGAAAGACAAATAGATATGAAATTTGAGGAACAAAGGGTGAGTGAAACAGCTGACAGCAAAAATGTGTGACAATCGCCGTACAACAACTATTTAACCACAGTTGAATCGTTTATGAGCATAACAGTATGGATGAAAGGCAATGATATAGAGGTCTTACAATTTGCTTTGGTGTTTAGACACAGGTAACTCTCTCCAAGGAGTTTCACCATAAACTGCATGCAGTGTAGTACATTAAGTAGAAATATTGAATGTGTTTTCCTTGAAACAGATATTCTGGTAGTTACTCCAGCAAGAATTAACAATTCCAAAAACACAGAACTTTTCATCTCAATTGATCCAAATGCATTTTTTAATAAATCCAATCCAAGACGGTTGTTTCTTCATCTCTTGAAACGAAACCAAAACAACAGAACAGCTTCTCCCAGCCCCCACAAACTCCTCCTACTAAATAGGAATCTGGAGGTAAAGATAAAAGCAGTCTGAAGTGAATAGCAAGAGGGGAAAACCCACCTTCTCACTAATGCCCATATTTATTATCTAACTAAAACACAAGAAATAAACCCTGACCCACACAATTACTTGCTACCTAATCCACTATCTATATTTAATGTATTTAAGGCTCAGAAAGGATCAAACTTAAGAAAAATCAGTTACTGCGAACACTGAATTCCCTTTTAGTGTTAATTCTGGATTTTCTTGGATTGAAAAGTCATTGCAACTTCATTACTAACTGCATATGTTGTACACTCCTTTAAGGAGCAAAATGCTTTACTTGGATGGAAAGAAATATTTAAACAAAGGAACATTAAGTTGCTAAAACTGCTCTGAATCAGATAACATACCATACATGTGCTCATACAATTTAAAACTTGCATGTAAATGATGATACAGATGCACCAATGAATTAGCTGCTTGAGAAGTCTAATCTAATTATATATTGGGTAAATTATGTTATATTTTAAAGGACAAGTTTTACCCTGACACTATGAAACTGTGATAACCTGACTGAAGAAGCAAGCGATCCCAGTTAGTGCAGTAATTACCTCATTCATTTATACTGAAAAATTGTGGTTAATAGCAACTAAGTGAAATACATATATTCAAATAACTTTGAAGGCTTTTAAAACTACATATCACAATTTAAAATGGCTTAGTTATCAACAGACCATCACATACTCAAATTCTTAAACGTATTGACCATAATGGCTCAGACGAGAATTCTCCCACTTCATCCCAAATCACTTCGTGAATAATCTGCCCTTCTGATTCTTTACCTCCGAAGTGCTTGATTCAAAAAATATCTTTCTACTGCTGACATCGAAGAATCATTGATAGTCTACTGGATAAAGCAGCATTTCAAGTTAATTTACCTTAATTGGAGTCTTGAAACTTGTGATCATGAAAATGTTCACCTCCCTATCTTCCCCTCCCCTTGACCCCCCACCCTAAAAAAAATTGTGCCCACTCAAAGAAAGTTTGCTGAACAAGAATATGTACACAAGCCACATAAATGGCATTATTACATTATCTTCAAATCAGGAAATAAAACTCATGCATAAAAAATAGTCTGTACAAAAATGCTATTAAAAATATAATCAACTGATGCAAACCTGAAGGCAAGGATATTATTTCTGTGTAACAAATTTCTATTGAAACTTTTTTTCACAGCCATTTTGTGCATTAAATATACTTTTGCTCTCCAGTCTAACATATATGATCTTAAAGTCAAATCTGGATTATTGTATACCTCACTACAACGTGCAAGGAAGATCCCCAGTACCTTTTTAAGAGTTTCAGTCTTTACGGAAAACTGTATCATTCTTGTACTAGAATGCTGACTGGCGCACCATTTAAAAGCCTGAGGTTACTTTCATTTGGATCAGTCCTTAGATAGGTTCTACTTTCCAGAAATACAACTGATTTAACAACACCAAAGTTAATATACCCATGTATTCAATTAAAAAAAAATCAACTTAATACATTTATAAAGGAATATTTACAAGGCTCCAGGTAATTTTTTATTTGAATTTTCTTGCTTTCCTGGGTTAAGTTAGATTTATTATTATTTGAACATTGTTCCCCGGACAGAAACCTTGATAGTTGACCTGTTCAGAGAGTGAGTTTTAAATCTCTTGTAGGAAGGAATTTCACTACACAGTGGTTGAGTATTGTTGGGAAACTGAAAAGAGAAGGTACTGATGACATGTTCAACACTGGGAGTAGGGGAGGGAACCCCACTCACATAATTAACATATGGCTAGCCCTACTATGTGATAGTGAGGCCTCACCTGAAATATGCGGTCTAATTTTGGGCCCCATATTTCAAACAACAGGCAGATCGGAAAGAGTCCAGAGATTAATACAAATTATTAGAAGTCTGGGAAACGTGATTAACATGGAAAGACTAAAAGAACTAGAATTATTTAGTCTGGAGAAGACTGAGGGCAGATTTGATAAGTCTTCAAATACCTCAGTGCAATTATGGAGATGGAGACAGGATATTCTCTGTCATCACGGGATAGACTAGGATGGTCTCAAATTGCAGCAAGGAAAATTTAGGTTGGATATTAGGAATAATCTTCTAAATACAAAGATGATTAAGCACTGGGACAGGCTACCCAGAGAAGCTGTGGAATCTCCATCCTTGCAAATTTTCAAGGGCAGGTCAGGCAAACACTTGACTGGGATGACTTATAGATGATCTCACCTTGAGCAGAGGGTTGGATAACATAACCTCCTGATGACTGTTTTTCTATTACATGATCAACACTAACAGCAAGTGCCATGATATGGGACAAGAAAAAGACCTTTACACTGGATTAAAGTTTCAGGTACTTGAGCTCTTTGGACTTAAGTACCACCAAATAAACGTAGCAGGTATGCACATTTGGAATATATTTTCAGCACAATGCAAAGAAATTTGGGCAAGAGCAATAGAATTATCCTTGCTCATCTTGCTGATATGTTTAATAAAAGATACTTACCCCACTCTTTTCTGTTTATTTGTAAAGGCATCAAAGGAAGTTTAGACCCCAAGTATAGTATGCAAAATTTTTACCATCTTCCCCCCCCCATTGGCATCTATTCACAACTCTTAAAGTAAAGGCAATTCTTAATATTAGTTACATAATTAATTTTACTAATTAAGTATTGCCATGGTGGAAATGTATTCTTATGTCTGCTTATGCAAAGAAGCTGTTAGAAAAAGAATTAGAAAAGAAATAGTTTAAAAGGAATCCACTCTCCTCAAGTTGAGTCTGCATATCTCAGTGCACAAATGGTCTCAGTGGGACTAAGGTGAAGAAGTGCAGGTAGCATAGGCTTTTAAGTTTCAATTAAACATAAATAGGAGAATTTTGCTCAAAAGCAATAAAAATAAAAGGCAGGAACATACGCAAAAGCAGTACAAATGAAGTTGTGCGCTTACTCTGTTTAGACTTCGCATACCTGCTGTTCTCTTATTCCTTCACTGTGAAGGCATGCCAAGAGAATTTCTACTTTGTACAACAGTAAGATAAATTAACATTTTCATGGAGAGCCAGAAATTAAAATGTATACTGAAGAACTTCCTAAATAAGCAGTATAACAATTAAGCATGAACTACATACAGATATTTACACATTCACCTTACCATTAATTCAAAAGAAATGTTTGTTCTCTTGAAACACTTTCAGATAGGCAAAGGATATTAATTATATACATTTTCCTTAAATCCCTATAATGCGGGTGATAAAATTCTAACTTCTAAGTACCTTGAATAAGAGGATCTGTGTGCATTTGATAAACTTTAATGAAGCCTCACAACACCCCTGTGAGGTAGGTCTGAAAACTGTTGCCATCTATTACCTCTATTACCAGCTTCTGTTCAAATATATGCCAAACATACAATACCAGTGCAGTCATATAACTATTGAACAGCAATGGAGTTCGACTGCAAGAGAAAAGCAACCCTCCTTCTCCTCCTTTTAAACTGCTGTACAGTAACCAAAAAAGTGGTTAAAAATATGGATCAGAATCATTAGGTATAAGACTATTAAAAAAAATAAAACAAAAACAAAACATGCAGCAGTAAGAGGAAGTGGATGGCTTAGCTTTTAAGGCTCCACTGCTGTTCAATGCATACCACATCATATATGGTAATTATAAATGTAGGAATGTTACGGTCTTTAAGTCAGCACCACAACTATGTAAAGAGTCTAGGTTCCCCCTATTGGAACCTACAGCCAATACTGGAAGTGAGATAATAAAAGCAAGCATGCAGTTATGGGGATACTACAATGAGGTTAAGATGAAAATATCAAGTGGCATCTCCTTCATGTGGAAGTGTAAATGAGATGACAATTCACATTCATTAGTAAGTTCATTTATGACACAAGCATTATTTTTTTTGGAAAAAAACACTTGAGGCTCCTTTTAGTCGTGCTACTTAAGATAAACATTTTAAGTCCTCAAAACTTGACCAGAAGAAAGAGATGGCATAAAATCCTTAATGCGTAAAATCTATAGAAATTGAGGCAAAAGAACACAGTACTTCAAACATTCAAGTAAAAAAATCGTGGTGGTGCTCCAAAACTGAACATTTTATATATAGAGTTAGGTCTGAAATTTTAATTTTTGTTAGACTAGAAAAATATAGAATTGTTCATTCCTAGGTCCAAATAATGTACATATGTTGTTTTTTGAAAATGTTTTCAGAATAAACTCAGAAACAATTTTTGCTTTGAAGTTATTTTTTCCTCAAACATTTATATATTCCTCAATACTGTATAACACTGATCTCTATGTGCATGCATTGTAAATATATGCATGTACACATTTAAAAATATTTATTTAATGGGCAGTGGAGAGTCCCAACCAACCAAATGCCTGGATAAAAAGATTTGAGAGACCTTTCCAATATATCTGTATTGTACTTAGGACAACACAGCTGTTAAATGTGAACTTCTGAAGTTGCCTCCATTATCTGGTCCCCAAATCTCTCTCAACATTTCCACTGATTACAATGAAATCACAAACAGCTAAAGTTGCATAAAAATGAATGCATTAACTGTGATATCATGGCTTCATCATTTAAAGATGAAATGTCCTTTCCTGCCTTATTTAACACACCCCCAAACACAAGGTTGGAGTCACTCCTGTCCTTATCAAATTCTTAAGGAAGAAAGGACTTTCTAAAATGTTGTTGCTTAGTTTTGCAATATCCCTTTAATATACATCTAAGAAGTCAACATGTGAAACTAAGTCCACGAACACATCTTGTGCTACTGATAATGTTTCAAACCACCCAAGCTTCATTCTCATAATAAATCTCAAATTTTACATTAGTGGTTCTTAACATTTTTCACATTGGGACACCCCTCCCATTTAACAATATAGAAAAGGTAGGGTAGTCATGACCCCCTGAAATCTCACCTCGGGAAATCACACAGGGGTATGATTCATGTCCATGATAGTTTGTCCATGGACTTCTATGGGAACAGGATCCGGTAACAATTCCCAGTCCACAGTTTGTGGAACAGTGTGATTTTTGTGTGTTGCGTTTTGATATTCTTAAACCCCTTCCCACCTTGGTCTAGAATATTAAAATAGACAAAGTTACTATGCAATTTTGTAGTATCACCAGAAAGTATTCCTATTTCCCTGTAGAGGTTAGAAACCTGCTTTGGAAGATCCCAAATGGGACATTTAAGCACACTTGTTGGTCACTACCTTGGATAAGGGGGAGGAGGTGGAAGGGAGAAAAAAAAAAAAATCAAGACATATTGCCCCTTTATTAAAAGCTAACAATTGACCCACTATGTTGAACTCTATCATAAATGACTACATACTACCAGCATTAGAAGTGACAGCATAAACCATAAATTAACACTTTTGTTTGTTTGTTTGTGATTACCATCTCATCCAGCAATTCTTTGGCTGTTTGTTTGGTTTTTTTTTTTAAATGCATCTGGTTGCCAACACTGAATCAAGTATAAAAAACAATTCATACACCCCATACCATTTTATCATCTTCCCCAATTGCAAAATCATGTGAGAAACATAAGCAACAGTTGTAAGAGATTTCACTTTATAAAGATGCGGTGTACCAACTGTTTGAAGAAAGTTACAGCTGTACAGAAAATATAAAGGAAAGCAGTTGTGACATGTCAGCAATGTCCACATTAGTACTATTTTGAGTGTACTGAGAATCAGTGTTACTCACTTCTTCCCAGAACACATTTTGATTAACAAACTTGAGGTATAAATATACACAATATGTACAGTACACATACAGGAATATAGTTTTGCATCTGTAACACATCAGTAAATTTTAAAAATACTGGAAAGTCAATACCTATGCCACTGATCTGGTTGCTAATTTACCGGAAGAATGAGGCCAAAATCTTAAACTAGTGAGAACTACCAATGGTATAGTATAATAAAAGGCAAAGTTAAAATTCCTTCCTCTCACTTCATACTCACCACATGCAGCACTATACTGTCCTGAGTGGTTTTATCTTGAGAAGAGCGTTGATTACAGCTTTTATATCTGTCTTCAGAGGAAACTAATGGGAGACCCAATCAGAGCCTTCAAATTTTCATCTTGGTTTCAAAGCAAAGGGGTATGGCAGGGAGGTGAGAGACTTAATGTGTGTGAGTGCAGAAATAAAGGTGAAATCAGTTCATTATAAATATTTTATCCATTAATTTTGCAGCTGTCAATGTAACCCTGGTTACTGCACTTTTTTATGCAATGTCCATGCAAAGAGGTCATTAAAAATCATCTGATTTTAAGTCTTGACATCATCCATTCAAGTCCTTGGCACAACCTATAAATAAAAATAAATAATTTAATGCAAACACATCTCTCAACTACAAGTACATTCTTTCATAGTAACTACAGTCATAATTCAAAGCATATGAGAGTGTCTACATTTGCAAAAGTACTGAAACTTGGCACTTCAACCCACACACTGAAAAGTCTACCAATCCTTCATTATGTAACACAGCACTGACCTGGAGGGACCATATCTAGTCAGGCCAGTCCATCAAACCACTATCTATCTGTCTGTGGATTCTTAAGGGTGACAATTCATTTGTGGTTCACATGGTAATTAGAGCACCAGCTCCCAAATTCTGATTCAAATTTATCTATGCAAGTGGTTCTCAACCCTTCCAGATTCAAGACAACCCCCTCCATAACTTTTACAAGTTTAGCAGCACACTGTTTCAAAAACTAATGTCACTCCTTTTTTTGACTACAGAAAAATAATAGAGCAATTCTTCTGTTACAAGGAACTCAGAAAGAGCACAATGGGTGACAATGTTTTTAACAGTATGGATTCTGATTTGAAATCTCTGGGTTTATCTTGTTAATCATGTGTCCTTGACACCCCTAAAAGGAGCACATGGCACCCTGGTTGAAAATAACTGATCTATGCAATTTGGAGATATGATAGACTCCAGATCCCATTACCAGCTCTCAGGAAACTACTCAAATTCTCCTCGTTATTCTCTACTAAAAATAGACGTAATGGTAAGTGACAAATTTAACTGTAGGGCAGGGACAATATCTTTTTCAACAAAAGTTCTTAGGTTTTGCATTCAGAAATGCAAGGAGAAAAAAAAAACATATTATACTGCCTAGGTATGCTAAGGGCTCATGTGTCCAATAACTACTGCCTGTACTTACTCTAAATACCATAGTACTATAGTACCTGGTTTTATAAAGAGCATCAAAAAATGATTTAAGAAGAACTCTTACCCCTCGCCAGTTAGAGCGCAGCAGGCCTGGATATGCCACTGGTGATCTTTAATTGAAGTCAGCTTCAGAAACTGGGATATTTCAGCTACTGTCATGCACTCTTTCACATCTTGTTTGTTAGCAAAAATCAGCAAACCTGCTTTCTTTAAGTCCTAGGAACAGAAAGAATAATAATCTTTCAAACAAAAGTTATTTTTTTCTCTATTGTTTCATAGCCAAATCATTTCTGATTTTATATGTGATAGATATATTGCTCACTTAAGAGCTAAGGGCAGTAACAATTTATTTGAGCATTACAGCAGCAATACCAACTGAAATGCAAAGAAAATGTTGGGTTAAAATGCTCACCCCTCCACTAATAGAGGTATTTAGTTTTAAATACCAGAGATGTTATACATCATTCATAATGTAATGGATCACCTAAGTATCCGTTCATAATTGCCTTATTTTGATGACCATAACTTGTATTTTGAAACATTTGGTTTGACACACTTGGCAAGCAATTTGATATTGTAATTAAGGTACAATCAAAGGGTGGAGTCAGTGTTAACCCTCTCACAGTCATTAAGGAGTGGGCATTAACTATTAGCAGCTACAAATATTAGCTGCTGCCTTGGCTGCAGCCAAAAAGCTGCTTCCAATACCTTAGCAGCCCTGAGAGGATTAACACTGTAGTCTGTGCCTGAAGTCGCAACTGCACTGGTTCATAGTAGGTGAGCTGCTGCATGCAATCTGTATGCTGATAAAGACTATGACATGGAAAAAACACTTCATTATTTATAGGAACTTATATAAAGAAGTAAACAAGTAATAGCCTTGCTACTGCTCTTACAGGGTCTGAGGCCTTGTTGTTGTCCTGCCACACCAAGACATTCCTG